GTTGGAGGCCATCGCTAGTAGGTTGGAGGCCATCGCCACTAGGTTGGAGGCCATCGCCAGTAGGTTGGAGGCCATGGTGTTTTTTTTGTGCTATTTCTTTTTTTCATGAAAGCGCACGTCAGCGACCTCGCTAGAGCGGCGCGGCAGAAGCTTGGCAATGCGTTCCGATGTGTGGTGATGTCAGGAAGAGGTGATTTGTTTGGTGAAGTGTCCTCGAAAGCTCTGCTCTTCTATATACTCTTGCAAATTTCTATTGCTATTTTTTCCTAAATTGCAGGGTGAAATGTCGATGCATTCCCCGTTGTTGCTATTCTTCCATGAAACAACCCAATCATGACCAAAAGACGCCAAGCAGGACAATCCTGCACCTATCCCGCAATCGAGGGAACTTTTTGCCTGAGCCATCCGTCTCATCCTGAAAGTCTCCAAAATACTAAGCCAAACCTACGACAAAGCTGTTCCGGTTCCCTTCGTTCAGCTTCACAATATCTCCAGGACATGCCCATCTTCTCACGCCTGATCAAGGACACGCAACTGGTTTTGCAGGCTGCATATCACTAGGATATCCTCAACCTTGTGAGGACCTTTTTCCAAGTCCGGCCCTGAAAACAAGCGTGGGCTAGCGGATGTTCGTCAGAAAATCTCACATGGCCTTGACACATCGTCCGAATTTGGACTTCAATATCTTTACTTGAACGTGCTCATCTTCCAACGCCCCTTGTGCTGAGACGTGAAAGCAACGCCCTTTGTGGACCCGCATTTCCGCCAAGTGTGTGAAGACACGGTGAAGGCCGGAGATGAGACAGGGCGGAGGGAGAGGCTGAGACAAAGGGGACAACACGCCGATCTCATTGCAGGACGCTACTATGAACAAAGGGCATTGCTACTAGGAGCAAGGACGCTACTAGGAACAAGTGCATCGCTTCTAGTAACAAGCGCCTTACTAGTAGTAACAAGAAGCTAGTAGAAACAAGTGCCGCGCTACTAGGAGCAAGGACGCTACTAGGTTTTTTTTTCGTGCTTCTTTGCAGGGCAGAGGACTTCAAACGGATCCAGGCGCAGCCTGCGCAGCGACGGACATGTCACGACTTCATGTCGCACCATAAACATAATGATGAACGACATATGTTTTTCATGATTCATTTTACAAACTTCCCATCTTTTCCGAAACAGAACATCTTTCAGAACTTCTTTCACTCATTGATTTGTCAGGCTTCATCGACAAGGTCGTTGATTTCTTAGACATTTTGAAGGTCCGAGCAGATGTGCACACTGATTTTGCAGTGGGTGCTCAATTGGAAACATCACAGAAACTCGGACGAAGTGCAAGAATACAAAGCCATGATGCTTTCACGGTGTCGGTAGAGAGTCCGAGCACAGCGCACATACCACATGCTCTCAAATTCTCAATATGTGGATGTCTCGACGACTAATGGTGATGGCCTCCAACCTAGAATGTTGGTGCTTCCCCAAGATTCCAAGGAGGAGTGCTAGGTAGTAGTGGATTGACCTTGGACGTTGAGACTATCAAGGCCAGAGCCAGAGTGCAAGCTTCTCCGCTTGCCGTTTGAGCCTGTAGACTCCATGGACCCTGGTGACGCCTTAGAGCCTTAGACCGTGTCATCCCAGTTGGTGGAGATGAGGGAGAAGTCTTATGGCTCTCCAAGTCTCCATTGTGCAAGGGAACTGACAACACATACCGTGCGACAAATTTTCGACAAGAGAAGAGGGGTAACGGGGTAACTTCATTGCTCGCAAGCGGTGTACCGCTTTGGCTAGAGCCATGTGCTCCTGGCATGCGCATGAAAAGAGTAGTAGTGTGCTGCGCTCTGTGTGTGTTATAGTCGAGGCAAGTTCTTTTTTGATCTCACACGCTGAAGTGCTCGACAAGGCAATGAGAGTGATCCTGAAAATAGACCGCCGTAAAGCACGACACGATGCAGCTATTATGACCACCTGACTGCGCAGCAAGGGTCAAGTAGCAAAAAAGCCGAAGACAAATGTATCGACTGCCCGCGACCTTTCGGCAAAACTAACAGCAATTGCCTCCAACCTACTAGCGAACGACCTTTGTTCCTTTTTTTCTCATTGTTTCTTATAGCGATGGCCTCCAACCTACAAGAGATGGCCTCCAACTTCACACTCCGGACCTTTCGGCAAAAGAGATGTGGACGAACAGCCAGAGACTTGAAAATCGCATGTGGCTTGATTGCCCTCGCTTGAAGAAACTGTGTGTGCTTCAAGCAAGAATTCCGATGCCTAGTGAACCTAGTTCCTAGTGCCACCCAAAATGATTGTTTGCGCGACCAATTTGCCACCATGTGCCACCCAAAATGATTGTTTGCGCGACCAATTCCCCCCGGGTGCGTCGGTTTCTCACAAGAGTCTGTTACTAATAGCAAACATTGTTACTACTAGTACTGGTAAGGCACTTGTTACTACTAGCGTGGCACTTGTTTCTAGTAGCTTC